ATCAATATGAGACTCGTCAAAGTGTTACGATGCTTTGCAATGGCCTCCATGATGGATGCTTCTCGTGAGAAGCCATTAAAAACAAGCTCTAGATGGCGTAGCATGGTGAAGTTCGAGGTCATTGATTGGAAGTGCCGTGTACTGAGATTGGTGCGCCGTAGAATGAGACTGGTGAGGTTCGGCGGAAGGGTGAAAACGGACATAGGGTCGTCGCAAAGATCAAGCCGAAGTCCTTGAAGGTTTGGCGCGCAGTGCAAAATAGACTTGAACTCGTCCATAGTACTGAGGCCTGGTTGCATCAAGTGAAGGTGTCGAAGATTATTGAAGAGGATTGGCTTAGTTGTCTTGTTCGGCTCGGGGATCATGTCAAAGGGTTGTCGATAGACGCCGCGTTTGGGTTCAAACATCAACTCAACGGATTCGGCGTTCTGTGCCAGTAACATGGCGACTTCCACGAAGACGTTGATGTTCCAGTCATACTCGTACCAATCGGGTCGTATCTCGAGACCTACATCTTGGATGATGCCAGAAACGAAATCGGCATCTTCAAGATCAATGAGACGCGTTACTGCACGGTGGGAATATCCTTCAAGGCGTTGTGATCTTGCCTCAATTGTGAGTCTTCGGGTGTACTGAGCGCAGTGAGGCCGTGCTTTCCAACACTTGAACAGTGATATGAACTTCTTTACACTCGCATTTGGAATGTAAATGTGTCGGTGAAGGACCGGCTCAGCAATCTCACGGAGACTGCGGCATGTCTGGCAGAGTATAGCCGACGTTGGGTTGGAGTTGAAAGGAGGGACGTAAAACTCCAAACTAGGTGGTTCTGGTGGGTTGTCGGCGAGTTTGGCTAAGACCTGTTGCAAAACCTCCAGTGGAAGAGACAGTAATGATGCCATCCCTTGGAAGTAGGATCTCAACGATCAAGGTCAAGATCCAGAGCGAAACAGAGCCCGTACGTATGTGTGCTCCTTCGCCGGCGGCAAAGACTTTGTGCCAACTAAATGTGATTATTGATGGCAGAGATGTTGCTTTCTATGACGGTTGAGGTGAACACTGAGAAAAGAACAGAAGGATCATACGAGAGGGCTGCAATCAATTTTAAAGGTCTCATTTCGAAGGATTCATGGGCCCCTCTGCCAAGCTGAAAGTCGTTGGTTGATCCCAGCATGGCTAATACTCCGGTGTCTGCTCTAATCAGCTGCCCGAGTCAAGTGGAGCATCGTCAGGAGATCGCTTCCCCGGCTTCAACTATCATAGGTGGAGAGTGGATGCACGTAGCCGTCCCTAGTGGGCTCATTGTGCATGGCCAGACCATGCATTTCGCCGCAATTGGGGGTTCGGATCCTGCAAGTGACATTGCCATCCACGGTTCTGGGAATTAAGTCCTAGTCAAGCTCTTTAGTTGCGGGTGTGAATGACTTCAAATTTGAAATGTGAATTGCTAGTAAACTCGATCCTGTGAGTTGTAAATAGTGGTTATCCTAACACAAGTTAGGGTGGGTGCCCGTGCCGCCCCCGGAGTGCTTAAGCCGTAGGTCGGGTATCACATCAAGTAAAACTCCGGATCTGAGGGCGGAGGGTCGTAATTCCCAAGATAGCATTAGCCAAGTATGAATCAATCAGGCTGTTCATTCAGGGTTTTGATGTTCGCATGTTGGCAAGTTATTCAAACTTGTGAAGTCTTGTTTCCTCGAATCTACAAAGGCAGTGCAGTTTGTTTCTATTGACGCCTCGGCCATCCACTATTATGAGTTAACATGGGTCGGATTAGTTAGTGAACACTCCCGAAAGGGGAAGCTCGGGGACGAGTTTCGATGTTGAAGAATAACTGTCAACAGCATATGCCCCAAGATTATTTCCCCGAAAACTTCCACCGCAACACACTTCACTCCAGAAGAAACCTCGGTATCAAGTTACTAATACTGACCGATCAAGTGATTACGAAGTGGCGTATTTAAGGGACCCGATTCTCGGGTTGCGTTCAAGACTAATTGACACTTCTCACAACACATCACCTTGACTCTAGATCGCATCACCATTCTTCCAATCGCTTCGAACATGACATCCCCTCATCTATCCAAGATGTCACCGTCGCGCAGCTTTATTAAACCAGGCATTGCTGGCCTCACGACCGTAGCTCTCATCGGTTCATACTTTCATGAACTCCCAAAGCGTGAAAGCATGGATTTTACCGTCGACCCGACCTTCGATCTTCCTCGACCACCAACAGATCTTCCATACAAGAAGACCAGCAATATCATTTGCATGGTATCAATGACGGCAATCGGGCTTTCAGCAGTTCTTCTCGGCGCAAGAGATGCTCTACGCTCCCGCACTCTTTTGCCTCTAGTTCTTCCACTTAGTGGCGCAATGATTGCGTTCCCCGAGACTTTCATCGACGTCCTGGGATGCATTTACTACCCATGGACCGACCAGAATGCTTCCTTGCACATTCTTGGTCGTGAGATGCCGCCGTGGATACCAATCTGGTTCGGATACGCCTCGTTGATGCAGATGAACCTCCAGCTTTTGACCAACAAGACGTCGACGAGGACTCTGTGGTATTTCTTAGGCCTGATGATGGTCTCAGACCTCATTGTGGAGGAGATTCTCCTGCCAATGGGAGTTTATCACTACTACGGAAACCAGCCACTGGTTGTTATCAACAGATTTCCTTGGTGGTGGATGGCTTCCAACTCCATTGGCGTCTTTCTTGCCACGGCACTCGCCTACCGGTACCGATCTTACCTCGTGGGCTGGAAGGTTCTCACTGTTCTGTTTCTGACTCCGATGTCGGTTGGTGGTATCTACGGCTTCATCTGCTTCCCGGCCTGGGTTACCGTTAACGGGGACTACGGCTGGCTCGTGACTCAACTGCTTGGGCTTTTGACAATGGCCCTGGGTTTCGTAACATTTGCTATCATTCTAGAGATGGTGCTTGGAAAGAGCCCATTCAACTTGGACTCGAAAGATGACTCAAGCCGTCTGCCTAGGACCTCCGACGAATCCTCGGACGATGCCTTCCAAGACGGCGAGTTCTGAGCATTCGTGCGTTGCTCCCTATGCACACAACTCAAGCAATCACGTATGGCGCAGCGCGTTTTGATCGAGCCAAAAAATACCGCACTCTCACTTCGTTTAGGTTGATTTCAGATTGATACCACGCTTGTACGATAATAAAGACAGAACTCAGAACATTGCTGCTCAGATCGGGTATTTTTGGAAATAGATAAATTCTTAGAAGATATGACCCAAGTAACACCCGCTACTGGTTGCCCTCATTTCGCTTCTGCACCCAGCTGTCTGCCAACCCTCTTGCATAGATTTCCTCCTGGCTCATGGAAGGTCGAGGTACGGAGTTGGGGGCCCTCATTTCTCCTCTTCCTCCGCGAGCTTCAGATGCCCGTATGGCGGCTTGAACACTTCCCGAAATTTGTCCAAGAATCTCTGGAGTTGGCGGCAGTGTAAATTGGGCTTGACGATAGACATCCATTTCAGCCCCAATAGAACCGTACGGACTGACTCGGCTCCAAAGGTCATTTGAATCCCGGATCCTACCCCCGAGTCCTACGGCATCGAAAGGGTGAGTGAAATAGTGGTCTTTGCGTTCGAGACCGATGATTTGAGGGTATGGTGCGTTTGGGGGAAGCAACATCAGGCTTCCATACATTCTGTTGACTTCTTCAGTCTTTTCACGCAGTCGCAATAGCATATTTGGTCCGTTGCTTGAAGTTTCTTAACTCGACAGATGGGACTCACTGCTGCTGCTGCTCGCCTGAGCATTGGTGCTAAAGGTATCGCCTACTAGATACCCGTTAGAATCAACTCTAGTCTTACGCGACAGTGCGCTTCTCAGATGAGCTGGCATGTATTCTAGAGGCACAGTAACTCGATGATTACCCCATTGTTGACAAGCAAAGCCGATGTTCGCGGCTTCAGCATTGTTCGGCTCTTGAATACACGCGTCGCAAACCTTCTCGCAATGAAAGTGGTGAAACCAGTGGGCATGCGGACAGCGGGCTTCTGAGCTAACTGCAGGGTTGAAGACGGTTTCGCGCGGTTCGTGTCGAACCCATGCAGGACAACGGGACCAATTGCCCCTGACATCGACGCTTAGTACATGTCCTTGCCCTGGGACGAAGACCTCTTTCGTCACAGAATGCTTATTGGTACGCAGGCAGGCGATGTTGCCGCAAGGATTATAGTATATGATTTTGAGACGTTGACACATGCTGATGGTGGTCGTTGGCCTGTGAATTGCGAGATACGGTGCGCAGACTTGGAAAAGTTGGACAATGTTGTGAACTGAAGGGTGACGTTTGCAAATTGTTTGAGGATGTTCTGGACCAACAAAAACGGGAAATATCGAGCTGCCATCATGCTCTGATAGATGTGACTTCTGAATACTCTCTCCCGCTGTAAAGTCCTGAAGATAATTGTTCTCCAAGTGATCTCGATACCGACAAAGACAACATCGAGTCCTCCTTTGTCAGCACGCACTCTTTCTTTCCAGAGCCTTGAGAGAGTTGTCGTTGCCGGCCGTCGAGTCTTGACCGGGGACCTTTGAACAAGGAGGAATAAGAAGGGATTGTTCTGCCGAGATAAAGATATACACGAATACATCTTTCAGACTGGATGTTCATACCTTACAAGCTACCTACTTACAATACCCATGTTGCTGGCAAGCAATCATAGGAGCCAACGAAGGTGACAGATCATAAGGTAAATCACGTCACAATCAAGCGTTGCGGAGTTTACTAATCCATCTAATCGATGCTTCTTCGATGAGTCACTCAATGTTGTCTCTATTAATCTTTTTAAGACTACTTATTGCCTGGTCCTTTGAGGCGGCAATTTTGGGTATCGCATGTCCTTTTCCCGACTACTCCATGGTACCAACGCCAAATGCAAGTAAGCCAATACCTCAGAATCCTATGAAAAAGCCACCAATGACCTTCTTTTCTCGAAGCCGTGTACACACTGTTTAGTCTCCGTTCTCAGAAGACACTTCCCCAAGGCCGTGAGTCGCGAGATCTTCTCTCCCAGCTTCCTCTTCTAGGTCGACGGCGCTCCTCTCGTCTCAATCTCTCATACTCGTCCCGCTTGGCGAGCTCAGCAAGAAGAATATCCTTTTGCTCTCTCTCGCCGGCGAGTATCGATTGCAGGAGATCAACCTTCTTGATAAGCTCATCCACCTTGATGTGATCGCCCTTAAGCTTTCGTTCGAGCTCCTCGATGGTACGGACGAGCTTCTCAATCTCGCGTTGTCGTCCTTCGTGAATGTGATGATTGTTGCGCTCGATGCGCAACTCATCCTCGAGAATCTCGACTTTGCGTACGAGATCTGCGATTTGTCTAACGTATTCATCCGACTTTGGATGTCGGAGTCGCTCCTCTGCCAACAAAACCTCGAGATCATCGATTCTACGGCCGAACTCGATCGCTTTGCGCTCCCAATGCTCGCTTCTCTTGACTTCTCTGTCCAGATCTAGCAATAGGCGAGCGTTGCGATCTTCGAGTTCCTTTCGCCAGATGCGGTTGTCGTCTGGTGAAATGAAAGTGGTCCGCAGAATGCGAATCTCTTCTCTGCTTTCGTTTAGCCTAATGAGGCATTCATCGTAATCTCTGATCAGCTTGTCGTAACGAAGTTGCATATCATCGAAATGTGGATGGTGGTGATCGTGATGCTCGTGAATATGCTCGTGTTGCCGTTCTCTCAACCTCTTTTCGAGGTGTTTGATGCGGTCGAAGAGATCGCCTCTTGAGTGCTCGTAGCATATCCTGTCGGCAGTAACGTCGCAGTAGTTGATACAGCCATCGATCTTGCAGCAATGATCTGCACAGTAGCCGAACTGCAGTCTGGCAATCTTGCGACAGCCAGGTCTCTTGCACTCGTGATCACCACAGTACTCTCCTCCCTTCAAGCACGGCTTTTCGCAGCTCTTCCAGTGGCATCGATGTTTGTGACAGTGGACACCGAACTCAGATACCTCGTTGCAGCCAGCTATCGTGCAAGTGTGTCTCCGGCAAAAGGGACGGAAGCCACCCCCATCGATAGCAACAGCGACAGCGTAACATCTCGATGCGCCGCATCCGTGGTCTCGACAGAACACTCTCTCCTTGTCAAGCTCGTTGTCTCGGAAATTGACACACCCCTCGAATGTGCACTTATGGATGGCGCAGCAGCGAGTGCCAGGTATCGTCAGTTTGTCGCAGTCTTTGTACGTGCAGCGGAATTCACCATAGTCTGCCTTCTTGTCAATTCCTCGAACTACTGGGGATGTGAGTAGTAGCTAGTTGACTCACGGTGTTCGCAAAAGTCCCAAAGACCGCCATCTGGACGTCTGAAGCGGTGGAATTTGCAGTTCTTGACGATGCACCGTTGATGATTGAAGCACCGATGGTCTGCGTATATCACCTCTCGACAATTCAGCTCTCGGCAAATTCGCGAGTGGTGGTCGGCGCAGAACTCGGAGTTGGATATCCTCCTCTCGAAGCAGCTTCCGACTCGGCATCGATGGTCGGCGCAGTAGCCATACAGCTTGTCTCTAGTCTTGTAACAGTCCTCGACGAAGCATTTGTCTATTCAAGATGCATGTCAACGTCATAGTTTTGGATGTGGTGTAAGTGGGTAGAACTCACGGTCCGGACACATCCACGGGAGTGGCACATTCGAGGGGCAATCTCCGGTCCGAACACAGCCCACCACTCCGCATCTCCGGTCTGCTCTGAATGTTAGGAATTATCGCAAAACGAGAGCGAGAAGTAATCTCACGTTCACTGCAAAAACGATGCTGAGGGTCCTTGGGACGGTTGCACATTTCTAGACCGAGCACGCAGAATTTGCACGTATCTGGGGAGGGAGTATTAGCTTGTGCGATCTGGGCCTAGGGTGATATCTATACTTACGATCAACGCAGAAATCAGAGTAAATTCTGATATCCGGTCTCAGGGGATCGTTGCGGATGAAAGCATGTTTCCTGGAGCAGCCATCGACATGGCACGTTCTTTCGTATCTGTACTCTGCGCAACTGTCGCAGCTGCACCTCGAGGATCTTGACGAGTGCCTCGAAGATGAAGACGAGGACGAGAACGACATCGTGACCATACTCTAGGGAGGCAAAAAACACTTGATGCCCTACTAATGCGACTTTGAATCGATCAGTCGCTGAGTCGGGTGCCTGAAGCAAACTGCCGAACCTCCGGGTTTTGTTGGTGTCGGTATTGGTTTTGATGGTGATGCAGGTTGTAAGTTACAAGTAGGTACACTAGCTGCAGGTACCGAGCGAATGTGTGGAAGAGGAAAGAGGAAAAGGAAGAGCTGCAGGGGAAAGGCTGCGCGAGGTCTTTTGAGAGAAAGGGCACTTTGAAAGGAGGTCAGAGTGAATGTGAGAGAATATGCCCGGGTGAAGGAGGCCGAGTGGAACAAGGGCCCCGTGAGGCGTGACAATAGCTTCATCCCAACTTTCTGTGAGGTGGTGTGGCTCAGCTTTATCCAGATACTCCCAGGTAAAGAGAAACGCTCGGCCACGCGACCTGCATTTATCGTTGTCCTACCCCTCCATGCCCTCTCACCTCTTTTGGCTTTTTGCCAATTCCAGGCTCTTCATCGTAATTGTAACTTTTCGGTGAAGGTGAGAGTCAAGCAAACCAACAAGCCAATAGGAAATTGTTATTCTCGTCAGCGGAAGCGTCATCTGAAGATGGGAATGGAATTCCTATTGGTTGCGTCTATAGCGTTTTTGGCACGCTCCCAAATTCCGAATTTGTAAATGGAAAAACCCGCGCAAAGGTGAAGTTGACTCATCGTAAGGCAGCTTCCGACATTCACTACTTTGGACGAGGCAGCCCGGATTCAGCCGACGGTTGCGAGAACTTCATTATGCCTCTTGATACTGTCGCAACATTGACAAGCCAGGTGTCGCCTTGCTCTTCTCGATACCCGGAGTGAAGTTGAGAGTTGTGGAGATCAGCGGATGCGACACCAGATGCAACGGCCGACGGTGAAATGGTAAGATCCACATCTTCGGTAGAGTCTAGAGACGAAAGTGAGCTGGCCAAGGGGACAGACGCCGGACAAGACGTAGACGAAACGAAGCTAGGCTGACAGCTGGTCGGCCTGTGCCAAGCGAAGAAGTTTAAACGATGCGCGATAGCGGGATGTAACCGGAGCAGTGCGAGGGAGGCCCCGGGGAACGAGATCCAAATCGAAAAAGGCTTGCATGGATGACGCTGGTAAGCACCAGCCACACGTGGCCCTTGGGGCTAACTGATGGAGGGCGAGGGCTCGCTCAAGGGTCTCAGATAATCACATGGTGGAGGGGGGAGGAAGTGGCATGCGCCCTGCAGACTAAGACACTAGGAGAACACAGGAGGAAGCGCAAATGCAGGACCTGACTGGATGATGGCGTCAAGGGGCCTCAAGCTAACGCTGCATTCTGCCATTTTTGTTCCGGGAAGTGTCCTGAAGAGAACAATGGAAGAGAAAACTACTTTTGGAGTGTTCATCAGCCACAGGAAGCCCCCACGCCGAGCTCTTTGACAATACATGTACGGAGTACTTGATGTATGTTTCTCCAAAGACAGCTGAGCATTAGCTGCAGCTTGGTGAAAGTTCAGGTCGTTAATTTTTCGGCTTTGAGTCGTCTTTGCAGAGAGATTCTGGTCCAAAGAAGGACGCCTTGACCTCCAACGCCACTAACAATCAGCCGACAAAAGCCGCGATCACTAAGAGCCAACCTGTCAATACAACTTCAAAGATCATTTCAGTTGCCCCGCCTTTCACTAAGAATTACAACTCAGATTGAAAAAGAGGAGAAGTAAGGTTACGGGTACAGCTCTACGGACGACTGCCCAGCAAAGTGATTCAAGGCGCATTGCTCGTAAAACAGACAGTCCTCCGGACCGGTGCGAATGTCAAAGCGCTCGAGTGTTTCTCGGAAGTAACGAAAGTAAGCAAAAGGGCTCAGGGCCTATTCTGCTCTTTGCTCGCCTATTCGCCTTTACTTCTCCGCCTACCAAGGGCGAGAACGCCAAGGACCTGCAGACCCTTCCTTCACATGTCCGAGAACTAGGTCGAGTTGGGTTTGAGAAGAGCCCAAAGAACGCTTAATTGACTGACAACCCATTGCGACACTTGACAAGTACTGGCGTCGGACCGCTCCATTCGCTGCTCCCCACAGACCCTTTCAGACTCCGGGCCCGACAACTTGACCGACGAGGTCCTCAAGCACAGACGCAGCCTTACGCAAATCCGGAGCTTCGCCATACCACCGCTGCAGAGCCCATGTGGCCGCGTCGACTCCCTGTCTCCATCGCTCGGGCAGCCGAGAGAACCTGTTGCTCTTGACTGCGGCCAGAAGTAAGAGAGCACGGGTCATTGCCGCTCTGGCCATGAACCATGTTCCGTGATGGCGATGGTGAGGGTTAGCGTCAAGCAGCAGCTCAAGTGAGAGCTCGAGGCACTTCTCTGCTAATGGCATGACGCGGGGTATCCAAGGATCATCCGCCGGTTGGTGAACCACATAGTACAAGAAAGGCCGATGGATCCATTCGCGGCAGCTCGTGGCTCGGTTTTGGATAAAGTGTACCAGCTCGTTATTTGATGGCTCTCGATTTTGCCAATGTATCTGAGAGGGTATGTGCAAGCACCTGAGCATGCATTAGCGAACGTTTCGGACCAAACACGAATCCGCGCCGGGCGATATGGAGATTTTTACCAGAGGTTGATGTGCTCGTCAAATTCCTCGCTCTTCTCGAGCACTTTGGCTATGTCTCGGGTCCATGCCTGCTCTCCATTGTATCCAAATATCGATATAGCACGATTGATCATCCTTCTCGACGATATCTCAGCCAGGTAATAGAACCAACTCTTTTCCTCCTCTGGCTGGATATCATCTTCCAAGATATCTAACGCGCTTGGCTGAGCTGCAGGAGATGCGACTTCAGACGGAGGCGAGGGGAATAAGTCTGGATATCCTAGGCCAGTGATGCCGCTTGGTGGCAATGGTATCTCACATCTGAGCTCGCTGAGTGTCGACAGTCAGCTGCCATAGGTTCTCCTTCCATCTTGAGGAGAAGGTTCCTGCTGGACTTACCATTCCGACTTCATGCATGACCAGTAAAGGCGTTGCTCAAGGCGCCGTGTCTTCTGAGAGATACTTTGCCAATTCCGCCTTTGGGCCCTCCGCCAGTATAGGTTCTTGAATTGAACGCTGGCTTGATTGAAGTAGAACCAGCCCTGAAGTGGACGAAGTGAGTACATCTCGAACACTGCACAGAAGAACAGGCATTGAATCTGAAGTAAGGAGGGCTCAAGTAGTCCCAGCCGCTTCTTGGCTGCGAGATAGTAGGCCTGGGCTGTATCTGGATCCGTCGTGGTCGATACTGACGAGCGCATCGATTCGGGCGTACTATTGAAGTTGATCTCGGATTGAAATGGGCTTGCAAGGCAGGCGAGTGCACATGCAATCAGCTCAATGAGAAGCTTCATCAGCATGGTAACGGTCGTGGGAATATTGAACAGGCCGAGGACTCACGACTAGACACGACGGTCCGTCCCATCGGGGACCGTTCTCTACTGTATCCTTGACGTACGCTTTGAAGTCGGTCACGTCAAGAACTGGATTCTTCACATGCACGTATGCCAAGAACTTCTTGGACAGCACCGTGAAGTCGTCTTCCTGAACTCCCCGCCCTAGGTTCCGACTTCTGACAGGTTGAGATCGATGTGAAGACTCTGCGTCACCATCCTCTAACTCCAAAATAAAAGACTCCGTCTCGGGTGCATATCCCCTAAAGATTGGCCATCGCAGAATGGCCTCGCAATTAGACCTAGCAGCGGCAGAGTCTGGGATGTCGAGGCGGATCATGACTTCGTCCTCGGGTAGATCATCAGAAGGATGACTTAGATTCTCGTCAATAGTGACGCTTGTATTAGTTTGAGGCCCATGGATCGATGTTGGCGATAGTGTTGAGGGAATGGGGGGAGCGCTAACTACTTGCGCGGCTGGTAGTTCCGGACGAGTCTCAAGCAGAGAAACAACATGATTGAGGCGGTCCAAAATTGCCAAGCTCGCGGGATCGAATCTGTACTCTAAGTAAGACCAAGCCGGTCTGGAGCATTTCCTCCAGGCACGAAGAGAGCACTCACGTTGAGAAGTCATTCGAGGTGTCGGGGTATGTACATTGTCCGCCGTTTCGCTGGCAAAAGCCGCATGCTGGCCGGACATTGTCACATTTCGTTTTACGGACCCGACAGGGCCCACACGCCGCAACAGCACGCCGTCTCTGGTACATGCCCGAGGTCCGGCGCCGCTTGTTGGACGTTTCAGGCGCCTCATTGCCTGCATCGGACATTGTGGGATGTTCCACAAGGCCTTCTGTGGGGTTGTAGATATACTGATACGGGTGAGAGATCTACCCAGATACCAAATTCGACAATGATTCGTTTTCGACGTGTTTGTTGGCTTGATGGAAATGGGTGACAATTCCCAAATGAGAAGCGCGGGGAGTAGCGGAGTTATGAAGGTGAGGAAAAGCGAAACCGATACCAGGGTCCACCCGACTAAATTAATGGGGATTTTCGTTGCTTTTGGCTAGCTCTCTCGCTGCTTTGAGTTGGGGTTCATTCACTGTGGCGGATGGTCTATACTTGTAGACCATTTGGTGATACCGAAGGCAGTTTCCGCTTTCCAAGGACCTTGGCGTCTCATGAGATGAGGTTGTGAAATTTTTTGCTTTTATTGATTTTTTGTTGCTTGTTGTGTAGCTTTAGATGGCCATTAAGAACTAGAAAGACCATAGGAGAGGGTTATCAGTCTCGAGTATTATTCCGATTGAATAACTAAACATCCTGTATTCTAGTCTCTGTGATTGTGCACCAAGTTCCAGTCCCTTTAACAGAATTTGACTCTAATTTCGGGACCTCGTATTTATTGGTTTGCGTTACTTTCAAGACATTCTCAACTTTCCTCATTAACCTAGGCAGGATATGTCAAAACCAAAAGCTATTTTGGTGGGCAGGTCTCTTGAGGCCTCCCCGGGGGTATCGGTTGGATCTCCGCGTGCTCAACGGTAACGGCTGTGACGATGTCCATCTGAATATACGGACCTTCCACAATGACTGGTAATGTATGATCGTGCACTTCAACCGCGCTCACTCTAGGCGTCTCGTGCATGTTGGCGTACGATCTTCCCCAGCCTCTCTGCCCGCCATGTTTCCACCACCACCATTCCTTGCGACCGCCGCTGGGAACAATACTTGGCGCAGGCACTCTTCTACTCACAGGACCACTGATGATTACAGTGTGTCCATAATCTCGTATTGGTGTTCTGACAAAGGCGAACTGGTCCAAGCCCGTATTATGTGCGTCTTGTGGCTCGCTAAACACAATGGTTGTTATCCATAGTATTGAGTTGAAGAGCCCGTTTGCAGCCAAGATGGACCCCGCGAAAGCAAAGTATAATATTCCAAGGTCAATGCCCAGTAGAGAAGTAATGCGGCCGATGATTAAAGGCGTGCTGCAAGCGACGTATACGAAAGGGTACGCAAGAAAGGCTGGGTGGTAGCCTGAGGGCCGTCGAACTTCCGGGCTATGACCGGGTTCGAACCCTGATTCGGAAGCTTCGCTTTGTGACGCTCTCTTTTCCGGCAGGTGACGACAACTTCGTTTTTGACGCCATAGAGTAAAGAAGACGAAGGAATAGAGGCTCAGTGTGAGGGCGATGGAGACGATGACCCAGAAATAATGAGCCCAAAACCGCCACGATTCATACGATGTAGAAATCCAACACCTGTACCGATGTTGAATTAGTGTGAGAACTCTTGGGAGCCGGAGCTGCTATGATCAAAGCAAGGGAGTGCTAGATCTTATTTACCAGACATTGGCCCTCATGAAGAAAGACTCCTGAGGAACTGCTGGGTGGATCTCCGAAAATATTACGCCTGCTCCGTTGATACTAAAGTCGAATATCCAGAGGAACCCTATCGAAGTATAGATGGTCCACGGTGGTGGCTTATAACCCAAGCCTACTGTCAAAAAGGTGTTAATCGAAATAACCGCCAGGAATAGGCTTGCTGCCAAGTTACTGGTCGACCCCAGCCAGCCCTGAGCCCAGCAGACCGATGAAGGTGCAAAGATGCCGTCAGCTGAGACCCAGGATATACTGAGTGCGTAGGCAACAGCCTCCATCATGTCTGCTAGCAGGAGGTTATAAATGAGAATGGGGAAAGGATTACGGGCTTCCTCAACCTCTTGCTCTTCTCGATTCCTGGGAGCACTAGCAGCCTCTACCGCTTGCTCTTGTGACGTTGCTAGTCTATCGAGCTCCTCAATCCGGGCAAATCCGCTAGTGCCCGCACAAGGAGCATCTAGCCCTAGAGAGAGGTCCGGTAGATCGGTAACATCGGCATCTTGTGGTCGTGTACTTCGTTGCCTGGGGGCCGGGTGAGTTTTCCGGTATGCCAGTAACTTGTATGTGATGAAGAGCCAGAGTCCCGTTGTGGCTATGGCTGAGAGGAACGAGAAGATAGTGAGTACAATTAGTCCACGGCGGTGATAGTCCGGAAGTGGTGCCAGCGTCCCCCGTTGTGCCGCGGCTGACATGACAGTCTGACTTCTCCAAAGAAGAAGGCCGTCGGTCAGGCTGTATCCCCTGGGCAGAATCTACGTGCACCCGCCACGTGGGACACATGAACATATATGTTCCTGTTTAGCTGGGCCTGACCTTCCCCTCAAATCCTCTCCAAAGTCAAAAGGAACACTTGACTCGTGCGTTACATTGATGCTCAAAGGCCCGTGGTCGAGAATGTCGAATTCGAGGGCTTCGCAGTCCATGGAGGAGGTTAAAGCCGAAACTCTGTTCGACAAACGCCAATAAGGATAGTCTGTTCTGTGCGAGCCTACCCAACTTACATTGTTACAAACTCTAAGCCCCGTGGCATATCCCTGGGGTGTTGTTTCACAGAACCTGATCTCGCGCTATGTAGTGCGAATCACAACCCAAATACAGGTTCTTCAACAATGACGGAAGACTAAAACAGGCTGGAAGGCAGAAAATTGGACCACTTGTAGATCTGTTCTGTGGTGCATCTCGAAGTCGATGAATAAGTCGCATGGACCACATCCGCGGAGATACGCGCCGCTCGGTAGACATGGGTTCCCAAGTGTTGGTATGCGTGGTGCCTGAACCTGACGTCCTCGTGGCATGATAAGCATCATTCTTGATACACAAGATGGAATTGCTTGACTAGTGAATTTTCGATATGTGATCCGGGTGATCCGGTATTCCCAATAGCAGCATTACTCTAGTGAAGAATGGAGAAACAGATGTGCGTTCATGAGTCTCATACTGTCCGCTGATGTGCCTTTCTAGCCTGCTTATGCCAACACGATCCCCTGACATTGAAGACCCTTCATATTCTTTTTGATAGCCCGGAATCCAAACCATGTCATCGTCATACCAGTGAGAAAGATTGCAGACGAAGTCAAGGCCACCCATATCACGCTTTGCACGTAGCCCTTTGTCCAACCTCTTCTCGCTGCGCTCTGTAAATCATCGACATTCAACATGTCGACTCCCTCGCTTGTCAACACTTCCCAGACGTAATCGCGGTAAGAGATTGGCCAGCTTGGCAGGTCCCAATACCGAGATTTGAGGCCTGACCACTTTGCAGTACTGATCTGCTTCCGTAGCTTTGCAAGTTGCTCATTACTGAAGCCGGTGCGGACTGATCCGATACTTTGTTGAAATGATACGGATGTGTAATAGGTGTCTTCCTCATGCCACAGCTGAGAGGTAAAGTAGCCATACTCATTATACTGGCGCCAATTATCCTTGGGAAGTTGGTCCAACGGCGCGTCGAGGAATGTGTCGTGATACTGATGATAGAGCTCATTCGTTGGCCAGTGGTTTATCATGCGATCTTCCATAAGATTGCCCGTACCCACGACGGTGACAGGACCCGGCCATATATCTTGCCTGAGTCTGAAGCCCGGCTCGGTATGTATTACCTCGTAGCGTGTCAGGAAGAGCTTTTCCCGTAGGGATCCAAGCTGCTCCATTACCACTGGCCACGTCTTATAAGTCAACATACCCACTTCCTGGCACCCCCTGTTTCTGGCACCCACAAAAACGCGAAAATCCACCACAACCCAATGCCCACCCCCAACCTCCTTTTATCACAACATTTTCAATTCGCGTCCAAATGGGCTCATCTTTTGCACATGTCTTCTTCTATATATAATGCCTCAATATACCGAAGATCAGCTTCGTCAGGCTCTCGAGGA